GTTTGACGTCATAGTGTGATGCATGTGAACTGACCAAGGTATAGATATTCAAGCATCAGGGATATTGTTAAGTGCTTCCAATCTTATTCCACGTAAGTTCTATTTTTTATAAAATTTTTATTAACGATATCTGCTAACATTATTTTTTTTTATTTTTTGAAACAAATACAGATTTCTAAATGGCTATTTTGGAAATTTGATTGATTGTATACTGTTTAACGTCCCTCTTCAGAATATTTCACTGATATGGAGACGTCACCATTGCCGGTTAGGGGCTGCAAATTTAGGCCTATGCTCGGCACTTACAGACTTTCAGCAGGGAGGGATCTGTATCGTGCCACACCTGCTGTTACACGGGGCCTCGGTTTATACGGTCTCATCCGAAGGACCGCCCCATTTAGTCGCTTTTTACGACAAGCAAGTGCACGTGGGTACTGAGGACCTATTCTAACCCGGATAACCACGGGGCTGGAAATTTGAAGCACACATTTTCTATACATTTTTATTTTCTTTCTCTTTCGCACAGTATACTCTTCATGGGGGGGGGGATTAATGATGAAAAGAAGAAAGGTCATAATCTCCATTTCTTGTGGGATATATTTGTATAGATATCTAAATCTATAAATATGATATTAAAGGGAATGCAGTTTTAAAATCTTTGTATACACCAGTATATCGATTCATATAATAATCATGTCTAAAAGATCTTTATGAATAGTATTTTTTTTTCAACAAGCCAATTTCGGAAAATAATTTTATTTTCTTATTTTCCGTCAATATATAATTCGGGAAACCTCACTCTAACATCTTGTAACTTATAGCGAAATATGGGGAAAATTTTTAAACTTTCCAGCATTGGTCAATCAATTAAAAATAGGGCCTAGAGGTGGATAAAATATATAGGTCGGTTATAAAGTATGTTTAGAATTAGGGAATAGAAGGTTAGTTGATAATTCAATACCGAAAAGTGGCAGAAACATCCCTATTTTTCTGTATAAAATTTTGCGCCATATTTAGTGTACTTTATATGCATAACGACGTCTACCGTATTATGGCCAAAGACTAATACTGGGGGTATATAAAACCATAACACTACAGTAACAGTTCTGAAGCTAATCCTGTTATACATGTGTCTATTTTTTCGGGGTTTTTTTTCTTTTCAGAGTGATAAGTGGAAATGCGAAATTCTAGCGAAATTTGCCCGAAGAATATGACTTTTATAGGCCATTCAGTGGACCCTACTGGGACAGGAAGCTCTAAGAACAGTTTCACAATTGATGATTTATTTCGGTGCAAGGATACATCTTCTCCCTTGAATGTTCATTACTGGGACGAAGACGTTTTCATCTTTGGAGCTATACTCTTCATACTTGGTTTTATTGGAAATATCACTACCCTTTCTTTCATCATCAAAACTAAAACGCTATACATCGCGACATATACTGCAATCGCCTGGTTGGCATTTGCTGACCTTTTAGCCGTATCTTCACGCTATATCATGATTCTACCCAAACCTGTAAGCTCATTTTTTTAAATTCCTTTAAGACGTTCTGTATTTGACATCTTCACTTTTCTTTTCTTACACACCGCTAACTTCGATATGGTATTTATTTCGTATATCCGTTATATATTTGTCGTAATGCCTCTTAAGAGCCTAAAAATGAGTTCTAGAAAAATTTTAAAGCATTTTCAAATAATCTGGATTTATTTCTTTGTTAATGACCAGTATTTATAGTGTGCAGCATATATTAATGTTAGAAAATATCTTGTCTGAACATGTGAAGAACTGGGCTGAATAAGTGTTTGCTATTTATATAGCTGGTGTTCCTTTTATTTTGATAGTTTATTTCCATGTGAGAAAAGTTTGTCATTTACACAATTTTCCTTTAACAGAAAGAGAAAATGGATGCTACTCATTATCATAATGGTGTATCTTCTCACAATTAGCTATCCTCTACTCTACACGATACTCGATGCTTTATATTTGCTTGACAGCAGACTTTTGTCGTCTGTGGAATTTCAAAAATTATTTGACTTATTTCTTTTATGCAACAACAGCATTAATCCTTTGATATATTTCCTTTTTTCTCCTCCAATTGCAAGGATTCTAAGGCGATTACGAAAATGTTTTTATACTCTTTACTTACTTTGAAAAAATATTCTACTTTAAAGCTATGATGAAGAATTTATGTCAAAATTATAGATAATTGTTGGAATCAATTAGTCAATTACATTGTAGCTATAAAATAAATGTCATTGCACCTTCAATTTAAAAATAAAGAATTGATAAATTCTAAATGCATGAAACCTTTTGAATATAAGACGGGTTAGAGAAAAATACTCAATCACTGTTCAGAATAAAGGTATTCATTAACAGTTTCACTGTTGAGCTGTGTTCAATAAATGGGACTTTAAAAAAAAAAGCTTGGGAACCATAAAGTTTACAAATAAAAAAATAAGAACCGCTGTGGGTTTTTTTTTTCACTAAATAAATTTAAAGATAACAAAACATATGACAATTGATAAATCGAATGAATATTTGATCGAAAATCTAGAAGGTCATCTTCAAGTGCACGAAAACGAAATATTTTTATGATATTCAAGTATTTCCTCGAGAAATACCCTTGCATGACGACAATTTAAAATTGCTTTTGAATAAGGTGTTTAATTGAGACCTTCCTTAAAAATCATGTATGATGAAATAATTTAAAAAGTGCAATAACTAATGTTTGGAACTGATTTAATTTGGAAGTATATAGATTTTCCCATGTCCGTCTGCCTCTCTGTCTGTCAGTTTTTTTGCTAAGGTTTAAACCTTGCTGATAACTTTTGATAAGAAAGACCTATGGCTTTTGTGTGGCATACATGTTCACAACTTGTAAAAGAATCTGTATTTGGTTAAAACATATATTTGACCTGACAAGTCTTTCTAAGTATTAAAAACATTGAATCTTATTCTTACATCTCTTCATCTGAATTTCAAACCGAACCTATAAAAACGTATCACGGCCTTTTAATGCATAACACAACATACTGCAAAAACGTCGAATAGTCTGCTGTTTTTGTTTTTGTTATTTGGTTATTTATCAAATAATTACTGTCAAGAATTAATCTTTAAGGATTAAGCTTACATTTTTATGACACATATGGAGATAAGGAACAGTATTCAAGATCAAAAGTCCATTAAACAATAAAAAATAGGAGCAGTGCAAACACGAACCTAAAAAATATCAGAGGTATGATCAGATGCCATTGAGGAGTGAGCATCCCCTGCCAACCTGTCACACCCGCCGTGTGTTCCTTGTCATGATCGGAAAATAACGGGAAAATCCATCGTCAATTCAGTGTAAAAATAATTGACTAACAATTAGTATTAAAACGCCAGTCAGCGTTTTACTCAATGATAAATTGTATTTGCTGACAGTGTCATTGTATCGACCATGGAACTTACAAAATATGAATTTAAACGAGACAGCTGACATCATTGTTTCATCAACTCGTTTGTCAATAATTTACCTTACCTGATAATAATTTAAAGAAATTGTTGATTAGTTTATTTAACAAAGACATACTAAATACACTCTGTATCTTGTAAGAAAAAGTTCTGGCATATCATGATCAACTGCACACATTACACACAGTTCTGGCAGTAAGAGGACTAACATTGAAAGAATTCTGTAGTCGCCCAGGATCTTTTTTCATGCATTCGTTTCCTAAGAATTCACAGCTTAACGGATTTCACCTGTTTTGGTGGGATTATTTGTTGTTCAGATCCGTTTATTTCAAAGACTGACATTTTCCAAACGTATGACGATTTCTTTACTTCTTATTACATCATTGTCATATTATATCATTATTACATCATTGCCATAGCAGATGATCTGATTTATTTAGCAAAGCAGGATAATTTAAAAAAAAAAACAAAACGAAAAAACAGGACATGCAGGAAATAGTTCGTTATTTTTTTTTTCACAAATTAAATTGAAAATATATATGTAAAGTCAGTCAAAATATTTCCGGCTGCTATGTACAAGTGCACTTCAGATTCTTCTTAATATGCAGTGTTCAAAAGAAATTTGTAACCGATCAGATTCAATAATCGTATGAAAAATGAATGATGTAAAAATACCTCAATTTTTTTGAATTTCTTACATTAATTGAAATCCAACTTCTAAATGGCAAAAAGACAATTCAACAAAAATTATAATGCTTCTGATAATAATTTGTCGTAAGCATATAGGTTTAAATTACTTTTGAAAGAAAGATCTTTTCTTGTCTTTTATGTTTTAAGAAGCAGAATGTGAAATTTGAACCTTAATTTTTACACTATTTGATTTTAAAAAATGATGTCCTGGTCCTTTATGCATATGTGTACAAAATGTAATACTTATGTTTCAAAATGAAATAATTTGAAGAACGTTTTGAATTGCGAATAAATGTTATATAAACCAACATATATTTTCAGGTTACATAAAAATCCCAACTTGTTTTAAACTATTGTATATTGGTTAATGTATATATACGGCAGTAAAGACTACAACTAATAGTGTAATAATGGGTTTATTTACATGAAAAATTTTGTCTGATTGTCAATAAAATCATATAAAATACATAGATTTCTATTTCCTTTGAGTGACATTTAAACAATGAGGGGGTTTTACAAACTTGGTGTTTCATTCAAACTCAATTCAAGCAGTATTAAGAGAATCATGGGTTATCAACTATCATCTACTAGGTAAACAAATCGAATGGACTTTATTGATTACTTTTATTCAAATTCATTCCAGCATTCGGCATCTTGAAAAGAGTTCACCTTATTGACCGCTTTAAACCGAAATACGAATGATTGTTTGAGATAATATCAGTACATTTAAATTTTCCAAATATTGGAAATCACGCCAGTGAGTTACGTAAAACTATTAAAAGAGAATCAGACAATTAGTTAAAGCGAAAGGCTTTATATAAATCAACATAGTTTGAAGTTTTGGACAAAACTCACAATGAAATTGAATCTGACAATAGTGATTTTGTTTTTCGGCTTGGGAACTTCTTCATGTTCTATAAGCGTCGAAAAAGCTATTTTTGAGAACTATAGCTCTATGATAAAACCAAGGAAAAATAATAGCGAGGCAGTGCATGTAAGTTTCTATTTTTCTATCAATTCCGTACAAGAAGTTGAAGAACGTTTGCAGTATATATCTTTTTTTGGCTGGTGCAATATTCAGTGGTATGATGAATTTCTAATTTGGAACAAGACTCAAGAAAATGGGCTAAAAATGATTACAGTTCCTTATGAAAAGATCTGGACTCCGGATTTTACCATGTGGTATACCGAAGAAAATATCCATGGCTTAGAACCCCACCCCTTTGTAACACTGAATTCGAATGGTCTAGTCACCTGGTACCCTGGCGGAAAAATCAAACTTTCGTGCGTCATCAAAGTTTCCAAATTTCCTTTTGATGTGCAGTGCTGTAAAATTATTGTTGGTGCATGGCAAGTTACTGACTGGGTCCAGAAACTGATTCCAAAATCAAGGACGTCCGATGATACTAATCTCATTTTTCAAAATGGAGAATGGGAGTTTATGAATTTTACCTATACAGAAGTATACCACCAAGAATTCGATTTAACAACAGTGGTTTACAAACTTCATTTCAGGAGAAGATATCTTTACATCGCATTGACTATTGTTGTTCCAATAATAATACTTGCTGTTTTAAATTCACTGACATTTTTTGTTCCAGTTGATTCAGGGGAGAGAATAACTTACAGTCTAACACTTTTTCTAACATTCACCGTTTTCTTAACCTTATTCGAGGAAACCATGCCACGAAATTCTACCGACGTGCCCTACCTCACGATATACGTAGCATTCCATTTACTCCTGTGTGTTTTAAGCACAATCATATCCGTTCTTTTAAAACCTATTATTAAACCAATTCTTAATCATGATCAGGACCCAAACTACGTTACAAGAGAAAAGGAACTGCAATTTGAGAATGAAAAGTGTTATGCCAATGAAATTAATCTCAAAGCCGATGTTAATGAAGAAGATGACAAATATCAATGTGGATGTCCTGAGAAAAAATCTTGTAAACAGATGGATTCGTTTATGGCTTTGTTTAACATAATTGCTTTCTTTTTCTCAACAGTTACATTAATCATCTTTTATCATATTTGAATATTTGTTTTGCATGTGTAGGAATTGCTCTCTTATTAAATGATTATACTCTGTGGACACAAGCTATGAACATTGTTGACATTGCAATGTTGAAAATGTTGACAATGCAGGCAAAGAAAATTTCGTATACCAGATTTATGAATTATTTTTAAAACCAGGTTAAAGGATATTTGAATGACAGATAGATTTATAACATGTACCATGGTATTAAACAAAAATCATTAAGTCAAGCAACATGTTCCAAGATATTTTACAAAAATCATTAAATCAAGCAACATGTCCTAAATATTTTATCTTAACCTTTTCTAGTCTTATAAATACATGCCAATATGAGTGAAAAACAGACAGACAGATAGACTGACGCTGGATTACATGTATAATCTTAGGTGTTGTACTGGCTCTATCTCTGCTCCAGAGATAACATAACTAATGGCGCCATGACGTCTTTTGATTTTGTGCAAAAGAAATGGCACATCAAATTGATTCCATAATGTTATTTTGGTATAAGCTATATTTGTAAGAAAAAAAAATTAAAAAAAATTGATGTATATATAATCTTCAACTGTATTCTTATTAAAGAAGTGCCTGTTCATAAGTTCTGGAAATTTACCAAATCACAATTAATACTTATTTTCTTTAACAAATTAAAGGCTTTCACGTGATATTTTCAATATCATTTAATTGAAAATTGACAAAAGTCGTCATGAAAGTCAATAGTTAGAATGTTTGTATAAAACATTGAAAAGTCTACAGATCGATCCGTTCATTCGACCATGATATTTACAGGGGATATTTACTTTTCTGTGGCACGTTATCCTTACTATTATTTTACATGTATCCGATTTTCGTGCCTGCTCTGCTCCTGATATGTATAATGTGATTTCATTTAAAAGCTCGAAGACTGTTTGTTATCTCTGTATTTCATGTAAAAAATAACAAACGATAATAATTAAGTTTATTATATGATGAAGTAATTTCCATCTCTCTGATTGGCTGAGATCCAACTATGTTAGAAAAATACTACGTTGTATTGACCTGCACGTGACGTTCCCTGGGAATACAAAGATTTATTTCCTCTACATTGATCTAAAAATAGATCGAGAAATTCCAAATTGATACAAATTATTTTGGAAAGCTATTTTAGCGACTATGACTTTTTTTTTTCATGTGAACAAAACATAAGCGAAATAAGCGAATATATATTTTCGGGTAAGGACAGTAAGAGGGGATTCAGGGACCCCCCCCCCTCCTCCAATACTTTTACTGAACATTTTTTTTTACTTTTTGGCTGTCAGTTTTCCCTGCTAAAACTCCTTCCTTTCAAAATCTATCCTATAAAAAGACTGACATTATTTTTTTTTTTCATGGCAACAAAAATTGATAAAAAAACATTTCAAATAGATACGACTGGTAAGGTTTATTTACAATTTAATTCTGCTTCTTTTTTGTATTTGGCTAGGACTTAATTAAATGCAAACAAGTAATGAGCTGTATCATTTTATCAGTGAATCATATAATGAAACGATTATTGCTGGGGTTTTTTCGGTCAATACAATGATTTAGCCATTTTCAAAGTACAATATTCACCTCGCCCTTTGGGCTCGGTGAATATTGTACTCCTCAGATGGCTAAATCATTGTATTGACCTCAAAAAACAGCAATAATTGTATAATATTGTAAAATATATTCAATTTGGATGATATTTATTCCAATTATAAACTAAATTTAATTGATTGAAATATCTATTTTGACCAAAATGTTGATTTACATACAACAGGTGTATTGAAAAGAAACGTTTTCCATTATCACCAGATAAAACAAAATGGAAGCAAGAGTAAATAAATTGGTTTTTCCTATGTCTGAAATTTGAAATATTGAAAATTAACCTCACTTATTTATTTCTACACAAGTTGAACAATCAATGAGAAAGTATTACGAGATAGTTGAATCAGCCATTTTCATCCCTTTTTTCTTTTTTTCAAAACATGTGGAACGTTTTTCCTTAAGGTGTATTTGGGGTAACCTCTGTAAAGGAAATATGTATATTTTTTAAATCAATAATCAAAAATGTTTTTATATTCAAATATACATTGTAATGTTTTCATTTGCATAGATTTTTTTTTTCAAATTAATTATTTTGATTAGACATATTTGAAACAATGAAGTGAAAGAGTTCTTTGTAATAAAAGACAACAAAATGAAAATTTGAAAAAAAGATTTATCCAAGCTAACTTTTTAAAAAGGTTATTTTTGACCCAAGGGACAATTTTCAGATAAAAAAAGTTGATTTTCAATATTACAGTGAGACTAACCATCACCTATTCTTTATATGAACGTTCTCGATTTTAGAATCTATATTGACATTCAATATCTGATATTTGCTGGACAACATGTATGTTTGAATTTCTTACTAGGACAATCGAACTCGTTACAATTCGCAATTTCTGTTGAATTCCCTTGACAGGCATTCCCTCCATACTGTGGTGAGGGGTTGTTACACGATCTGCTCCTTGTCTGAGTTCCAAAGTCACAAGATTTTGTACACGATGTCCAGCTCCCCCACGAAGAATAACCTCCATGGACTGAATCAAACGACAGAAAGACTTTTTTTAAAAGCAAATTAAAAAAAAAATTAAAAAATTGTCATATTAGTTTGCATTTTGTTAAAGCACTGTAAAACGGGCATGTATATTTGTTTTAAACTATTCATGAAAAATTATGTTTTATATATTCTTTGTTTTATCTAAAAAGAAATTTTGCAATTAAGCAGAATATCTAAGGTTCATTTATGAAATGATTATTTTAAAGAAACCATGTTTCTGCAAGACTCTAAATTCAAAAATTTGATATTAAATACATTTACATATTTTTGCACAAGTTTTCATTGACAAGGAAAAAATTATCATCTTTGTAAACTTTTCTCTAATATGAACTTTTTTTAAAAAAATAAAAGGCTTATTTTGACCAATACCAACTTGAAGCGGATCTCAATATAATTTGTCAAATGATTAATATTCTAATGTTCCTTCTAGTGGATATTTGAAGTAAGTTTTACTCTTCTGTATTAGAGAATTGAAGACCGATTACATAAGTAGTATATTGTTTTCCCTCAAAGCTTCCTTATACTTACTTGGGGTCATGCATTTATAGGATAAAGATTCCCATCGGCCTCCTGGAAGGCAAAGTATCTTCCTGACAGAACCCACTGCGTAAAACCCACTCCGACATGCATATTTAGCGGAATGGGGAGAGTAAATGCGTTCAATTATTTTTCCATTCTGCAATACGGGTTCATTCTCTGCACAATCTAAACAAATAATCCTTTTTAAAAAGATTTAATCAAAAGTTTGTTCACGTAATGAGAATTATTTTAGGAAAGATGTACTAAACATGTACCACATACGAAACACCTGCTCAAAGTATAGAGGTCATGCAGTCGTGCAAAAAAAAAATAAACATAAAAAATATATAAACAGTATGAGAAAGAACTTTTAACTTAAAATTCAAAATACATTATTGGAAAATAAACGACGGTATTTAAAAAAAAGAAAATTACGACCATAATTACTTTCAATGTTTATATATTTATATGTACATGTAATGACATACCTGTTGCAATGCAAACATTGCTGTACAAGGTTCTGATACATGTTGAGAAGTAGTTGCATGTTTTACCATCATCACCGCATGTCTTATTATATGTGTAAAGCTGTAAGACATAAAAATGAGAAAATATATCAAGGTGGCTGACAGAAAACCTTAGCATTTCAACGTTCAAATTAAGAGCCATTCTTTTTAATGACTTGAAAGTTTATGGGAACTGTGGATACATTATCCCAGAATTCTAAAATGACTTCAAATAGTATAAGATCTGTGGTCAAATTGTCCCAGAATTTCTCCAAAAGTTCTATAATTTTAAGTTTTTATATAGTAACCTCAAGCCGGGCAATAATGTGTTTCTTTCTGACTTGATTCCCATAGCGACATATTAAAGTCTTAAATTTTCAGTTTTCACATACTCAGAATCCAACAGTTATCATTTTAAGCAATGCAAACAAGTGACAATGGCTTTTTTCAAAAGATGTAAGCAACTTTAACATAGTTACGGAACAACAGAAACAAACTGTCATTAAAAAATTCATTCAATTTTATAAAGTCATACACTTATAATTACAAAACAATTTAAAGTCAAAATGCAATAAAAATATAGAGAAATTGGCCATTTAACGAACATCAAGTTCAAAATACATTTCTGGGATTTTAAAAGATTATTTCTATGTAAAATTTCTATCGCCTATTGTGACCCTATCCTTCTTCCAGGTGTCATGATATGGACAAACCCGAATTTATACTACCTGAAGATGCATTTATATAAATATGTCTAAACAGGGTTTTGTTGTTCTAGTGAAGAAGATTATTATTAAAAAAAATCGATGTATTCCTTCATTTTTGATACACATTGATCGCTCAGTGTGATCCTGCCCCTCCTCTGGGGTCATTATTTGAACAAGCTAGGACCTACATTACCTCATGATGCTTCCATATGTATATGACAAATAAAGACTTTATTGTTCTTGGGTAGAGGATTTCAAAAGAGTTTTCCTATGCAGACCGTTGTGAAATTCTGATCGTCTAATGTGATCCAGTCCTGCCTTCAGGGGTCATGAATTGAACAAAAGGAAATCTTCACTATACCAGCATGCTTCCATATAAATATGGTAAAAAAAATAAGACTTCAGCTAAGATGAGGTAAAAAGATTTCAAATGTTAGGACCCATGTAGAATATAGACAAGGAAGTCGTTTTTCTATGTAGAAAAATTACTCCGGATCTATATTCTACGACAACTAGGGTAATCTGTTTACCGTAGAAAACCCTATCAGACCAGTAATAAGATTCCACGCACGTTGAAAAATGACCACCATAGAGATTTGACATCATATATTTTTATCAATAACAAAATTTTGCCATTGTGATACTGGGAAAAATAAAAGATTGATTTTTTGAAACCGACATGATATTTCCCACTCCCGTTTCAAAACTGTAAGGTTTTAATTCCAAATGAGTAGATTTATTTTAAGAACATTTAAGGCATCGTTATTTTTCCTTAATTCTAATGTTTTAAAATAGACTAATTCAAATTCAAAACTTTATTTTAAAAAGTATAACTTTCACAATTCATTACACACGCATTTGTTGCGCAATACAAAAAACCTATGCAATTTCTTTTAAAATCTTAAATTCTGTAATTTAAGACTTAAACCAAAAAATTGTAATAAAAACTTCTGGTCATTTTATATATCTGATATTCAGTTTCATGCAAAGAAGAAAATGCGTAGAAACCCGTCAAATATACTACATGTTCATGCATTTCACATAAGGAAAATGCATAATTTAACATTGAAAATGAAAATGAAAATGAAAAATGACAATCCGCGGTTCAGATTATTACATAGGACTCCATACACAACCAAGCATAATGCACTATTTATATTTGCTTCTTTACTTAAATAAAAGATAATTAAGGGACAAAATATGTATCAATCTTCTTTGAAATTCCATCGATAATAATGAACATTTATACAATTTTTATACATTTTTTTTTTTATTTTGGATTTTATGTACTCCAAAATTTGGTTTGCGTGTAAGTTTTATTGTGAATGCATTTAAGTAACCATTTAAGTAACCAAACATATTAATTATCATTTTGGACTTACTATTCCATGATGTTCCATGTAGATGAAATCCTTATCCTCGTTAACTTTCCCTGACTTTTGCCATTGTGCTACTGGTAGAAATTCACAGGTAAAAAATTTTATATTGTAGTTTACGGAAAAACAGTTTCCATGTTCCTTGCATTCTTTGTAGCATGCGTTGGGTCCTATGTTGTACAAGATTTTAATGGGGGAGATTGATAGTTTTTTGCCTATTTCGTAATTGAAAAAAGAGCATGATTCGATAACCTGGAGACTAATTGGTACTAACATTACCAAGCATACCCACGTTAAAAAAGATATACATGCTATTTTTGCCAACATGATTTGTAATGGAACGAAATGAACTTATAGACAACACGTACGTTGATGTAAATTGCGGAATAACTTTTAACTATTATCTTGCTAGTGTAACTTTTAGTGGGTAAGTTTTAACAAAAGTTTTGAAAAAATAAAAGTAACACGAATCAAATGTAATATTAATCAATGAAATTAATTTTTAGCTCAAAGCTTGAGCGGATGATAAATATGTTTCATAATTTAAGGCATGTATCTCTTTTGTTCTAAATTTTAGATATTGATGATATTTCCTTTGTTACGATTGTCGGTCTGCCTTAAGCTTTCATTGAAACATCATTTCCAAACTATTAACTATTCTTGTAAATATTTGTTAATTAATGACTGATATTATCTATTCATGAAATTGTAAATATGCTTATTTACCATTGCTTTTTAAAGTTCTGTTCTTTATTTTTTGTATGTGCAATATTCATTAAAACGGTATTGTGATAAAATTAGCTGGTCGCATATTAAAAATTCTATACTGATTTGTAAATATTCCTATTTACCTGTGCTTTTTAGAGTTCCGTTCTTTTTGAATTTGCAATATTCATTACAAATGATAATGTAATGAAATCAGCGGGTCGCATTTAGGATTTCTACACTGATTCATGCATTGTGTCAATGCACTTTGGATAAAAAATGATTTTGTTCAAGTTTGAATGCTCTTTGAAAAAAATCTGAGTGCGTAAATTTATGGATAATATCAACCCACCTTGAAATTTATTTTCAAAGAGAGTAACAGTGCACATGTACATCAGCATTTTTAAACATGAAGACATTTAACGCCCTGAACTATTTAAAAAAACATTTTTTTATTCATTAAGATTAGAATAGAATGCTTTATTTTGTTGTCCCCCGCTGAAAATGGGGGATAATAATTTCGGCTTTTGTAATGAAATTTCGCATGACAACGCCCTATGAACTACAGAAGACAACTATCGATTTTGAGGTCCATTTGTCGGCTGTATCTATGTCCGTTGTCTTCGACGCCTATTGATTTTGAAGTCAAACAGTTCGGTAAAGGCTAAACTAGGCACAATTGGTTTTGTGTAAAGTTTTTAAGAATATTTTTCACACTTTAATCTGTAAACGTTAACCATTAAAATATAATATTTAGAGTTAAATTTGTAAATTGTACGATTCAATCTGTAGTTTAACACTTTATGATTTGTTTTGTTTACACCTTTTACCTTTGCTTTTTTTTTACAATTCGCTTTTTTGCAATGCAAAAAAAGTTTTAAGTATTCTTGTTTCGGAATATATTTACTTTTCTTAACTTATTTGTTACTTGTTTTGTAGACCGCTTGTCCATACACGAAAAAAATGGAAGGGGGTTGTAATGAACACATCTGTACTTAATCAAGCAATGGGTTCAATAAACGGCCAAATGCTTTCAACGAACTATTTTGGAATAGAATTCATGTCGTACAAATCTGATTACAAAGTTATGTACTAGTAATAGGAAGAAAATATCTCATCTGTATTCAAACTTATAGTTAGTCCATTATTTATACACTTAATTGACGACGAATTTTTCCGTTATTCGCCGATCATGACAATGATAACACGACGGGTGCGATCGCTCGGCAGGAGATGCTCACTCCACCATGGTACCTGATCCCGCATCCAATGTTCTGGATTTCTGTGTTTTCTCTGCTCCTATTTTGTATTCTTTAAAAGACTTTTGATCTTGAATACTGCACTTTTCTTAATCTCCATATGTTTTATCTTTTTTAATATTCTCTCAATGAAACAACGAATATAAAAATGTAAGATTATTTCTCTGATGAAAAACTTGCTTATACATAATCATATTTTTGGATTGATAGTTGAATTCAAATAAAATTTTATCATTGACTTTAAACACATAAATCAGCAAATACACTAGACATGCATCTGTGAAAAATTCTTTTTGCAAAATTGAAGTTTGCTCTGAATAAAGCATGTAGTTGTAATTCAAATTTAAATTAAGCAATAAATAACATTACTGATTTCCTTAATTTCATAGACAACATTTTTGAATAAAAGCTGAAACAACGCTGCAATAATTAAACTTTAAAGCTCTTGCTTTACATGGGAAGATAAGATACATTCTTAAAGTGATATAAAATCAAGATAACACAATACTAGTATTCAAGTTGCAAGTCGTCAATATCACGTCGTTCCTTCTCTGATTCTTCAAAAACTCTTTAATCTATAACATCCAATACAACTCCAACTATTCCATCTGCAAAAAAAAAGTTATTTTCAATTGTTTCACAGGAATACGGAAGTCACTACTTTGGATACTAAGTCTTATTTATCTAGATATTTAATTTTAATATAAACAATTAAAAATTCATCTTTAGATTTAGTGTGTTATATGTATATGAAAAAACTCATTGATGAGCTTATATAAAAAGATAAGAAATACACTGAACTTTATTTGATTTAGTGACAGTGAATTCGATCCAATTGTTATTTCTAGCGTTGACCATTTCAGAATCCCAGTCGGTACAGTGTTTGCTTAGTAATCGAAAAAAACTGTGTTCCCTAGACAGCAAATTACCCTTGTCGATAAAAATAAGTTGTTACTTTTCCTTTGCCACGCTCTTTGTACTTTGAAGTGAAAGTTGTGGGTCCTTCAGATTAAATGTTAAAAAAAATCTAAAGCCTCGTGTCGCGACAGACGGTAGCACATTGAAGATCACTCACTGCTCGATGGTCATGATTACGTGTAAAGATCTATATTTGAAGCCATTTACTGGCATTTTGTAACGTTTCCGCATGTATTTGCGAAAAAAAATTACGATGGAACACAAACCATCAGATAATCAATAGCAATCTTATTCTGGATATTCAATAACAATAGATTAGATATTGATCACAGACTTATAAGGTATGAGATGTTTCATCTAAATGATCTTACATTAGACTTACGGTGGCGTGACCATTCAAAAGGGGGGAGGGTGTTTACATTTTCATTTTGAAACTGCCTGAGCCCTTCTCTAGAATTTCCATAAATCTGTATTGTATGACTTATTTGCAGATTTGCAATTGCTTTGTAGACTTTCAGATTAAATTTGATAATGACATTAAATTTGATAACGGTAGTGAAATTGGCCAATTTTTTAATACTAGTACTTATTCAAAAGTGAAGAATATTTATTATATTATACTAAATGTTTTAAACAAATACATATAACGGTGAACCGTGCACGCATAAATTCTGCACAATCGCTTCTTTTATTTAATATCACCCGTCGACAAACAATATTGACTGTTGCTATGCTGGAGGGCGTGGCTTCATTATTCAGCGGGTAATATTGTCTTTTAACAAAAGTTTCTCGACCAATCTGATTCAACTAATTTAAATGAAAGTATAATATTAACAACTAGTGCTAATTGTAACGGGGACCGTTACAGATGTTCCCCAAACGCTCCCCAACTCCCTTTTGGTGCCATATTCCTTGTAAGCTTCATTAAATAAGACAAACGCTATGCATTTGAGACTTTAACAACGTTTACCCAGAAGTCTACCAAGTTCATTCAAATTTTAGCGTTGCACGCGTGCGCTTGTGAATGCATGTGCATAATGACCATATCATCATGTCTACACAATCTATATATTTTAATATACTAAATATGAAAGTATTTAATTCAAAAGTGTTAAAAAATACGCTCATTCAAGAGTATTTTTGATTTTACTCATTTCACGTGCACGCACGTGCATACATGAGCATGGTGACCATGCCTTCTTGTAGAGATCCATTACATCTATCTATGTTCTAAATCCCACCCCGTTTGGTTGAAAACCAAGGGAATTATACCTATTTAAAGTTTAAGCCAATCAGATTGCAGCGCACGTACATACACGTGTATGCATGTGTATGTTGACCATACTTTCTTGTAGAAGTCCATTATATCTATCTATGTTACAAATCCCATCCTGTTTGGTTGATAACCAAGGGAGTTATACCTATTTAAAGTTTTAGCCAATCAGATTGCAGCGCACGTGCATGCACATGTTTTCATGATAATTGCTACATATCATGTTGTAGAATATCCTAATGCATGGCAAAGTTCAAAATTTCAAAGGATTTTGTCAAAAAACAAGAAAGATATTGAGACTTTAGTTTCAGCCAATCAGAGCGAAGCGCACTTGCATGCGCGTGAGATCTTGCTATTTTGACCATGTCATATTATCTATGTTACTAATATATCCTAATATGATGAGTTTCAAAGCATTTCATAAAAAATGTAAAAAGTTACGCCTATATCAATTAAATCGGTCATTTCACGTGTTGCACGTGCACGCTCTTGCAAGCACGTGCGCACAAAATGACCTTCGTTCCGCAAATCTACATAACATGCCTACTGACCCTAAAAAGGTTTTACCTAAGTCGGATGAACAGTTTACAAGATCACTCCCGGACAAAAAAGTACCCAGGAAGAAGAAGAAGAAGAAGAAGAAGAAGAAAAATAATAATAAGAAACAGAGTAAAAACAATATGTTCCCCAACGTCGTTTGGGGAACATAAATATCTGATTTTTTAAAAGTTCTTACCATATGTTGTGTATTAAATTTTATCGGATATGGGGGGAGGTGTCTCTTGTTCGGGCAAAACAACCGCAATTTGAGGAATCGCTTTCTATTTTTACTAAAAGTTTTGTGTTTCTCTGTCGTAGAGATACCGTTATATTAATTGAAATATCAATCTGAAATGAGTGTCCAGGAATATCACATGTATACTAGTATCTTCATTTATATTTATTCTGTCTTTGTATTGTGTTTACCAGACTTGACAACGTGTTAAGCCTGCAATTTTTGTGAATTGTCTAGATGTGACGTGTTGTGTCTTCCATTTAATCTGTTTTGAAATAAGCCATTAGAAAGATGTAATCTGTAAAAATGAATATGTTTCAGCACTTTGAATCGTCGGTAAGAAACT